CCCCAAAACCCCAAAACCCCAAAACCCCAAAACCCCAATATTCTAATATGAAGTTGAGACAAATATTTGATTACTGAGAATTAAGTGGTTTCTGAGAGATCGTTGATCAGCATATTTTCTAACACAATCACTGATTCAGAGGAGCTTATAATGATTCATCTGAGAATGGATGAGCCACCTGATCTTGATTTTTCTTCTTGAAGATAGTATCAGCAACTAAGACTAAGTTCTCGCTTGTTTTTGAGTATAGATCTGCAGCTAGAGTGTCTTTACAGTCTTCTGGGATCTTTTGAGAAAATCTTTCTTCAATCTTCTTATTCTCAAAAATTGAGTCACCATTGAGCATCATATACTCTAGTGTCGTGTCCATTACGCTCTTCATGCTGAGTTTGAGAGAAAGCAGGTAGAAGTCAAGGCAAGTGAAATCAGAGATATATCTGTTTACTCACTTCTCGATCATGTTGGGTAGCATGAAGTAACTTGCCTGTTTAATAACCTGGTTGATATACTTGGGTGACTTCTCGGTCAGATTCATTTTACCTGTCATAATATAGTCATAAATCTCTGAGAAATGTTCAGCTGAAGTATTACTAAGCGTAATCTCTCTGCTTCTTGACTCTCAAAACTCACCTGCAAGTAGATTCTTAAAGTACTCGGATCGGCAGGCTAGAAAGACAGAGCAACTCTTGAATGTCTTGTTTTCGACTTTAATCTCTAAAGAGTAACTCAAGATTTACCAATATCATATAAATGAGTTGACAAAGAACTAATGTTTTTACAATGTCTCCTTTTATTAAGGTTTAGATTATGAGTAGAGCCTTCTTCGTAAATCTCTCTGTACTGCTTCGTGATCAGAGGAATCATGAAGTCTACTAATCAAAGGGATGCTTACCAAGTTCTAGGATTATTCACAAATCTCGCACCTAAATTTAGCAAAGAACCTTACCTTGCGGATCAAAGGCGGGTTGATAAAAGCTGTGTTCTTCTTGATGTAAATGAACTCTAGACATAAGCCTGTAGAAGTACCTAACAGAAAGATCAATGAGTCTTTTTCAACTTCTTCAGGCAACATTATGGCTATTGGGTTTGTGTCAGAGGACTCTTGGGATTTTTCAATGATAAGGTTCAAGATCTTTGGGTACTCACATCCCACTTCGTCAACAATGTTGAGCAGCTTATAAACTAGAGGGTTAAAGTTTAAACTTACTAAACATGAAAGTATGAGAGTAAACAATCATGTTGTTAGAATTCTCTCTTGATGGCAAGATGAAATTTAAGTCTGATCTGAATGGATTATTTACTCATTTGAGAGTATCTGAGAGATAGTTTACATCTTCTTTTGACGCATCAGACTCTCTGACAAACTGACAGTAGAACATATCATCATGGAATTCATCATTGAAACCACCAAAGATGACAAGTTGGTTTCCTAGAAATGCTGCTGAGTGTCTTCTTCTTGGATGAATATTCGAGAAGTATGTTTCACTAGAAGTTACTTAAAAACATTACTTATTAAAAGACTGGACATCTTCCCATCTTTCAGTATTCAAGTCAAAACTGAGGAGATCATTTCTGTCTGAGTTTCTCCTTCCTCCAAAGACATAGAGTCTTCCTCTAAAAATTATCAGCAAAGTTTACTCAAAATATGATCAAGAGTGGCCCCATCTATAGGTATGTCTGATATGAGGGAACTTGATCTCTCTCACTCTGATCTTAGCAGAGTTTCCTGAACTTTCAGACATTTGCATTGGCGAATTCTCCAAATCTATATCAGCAAATGGATTATCTCGGCAGTTTCTGAGTTTTCTTCACCGTCTGAATTTTCTCTAAACATTAAGCTTTGAACGAACCTTTGGTGTATCGAATTTCCAAGCTAGCGATCTTCCATTGATCTCCTTCTGCGTGGCAATCTTAAAGAAGGCTGGAGTTGAGTCTTCTCTCTCCATTGAGTAATCTTTTGAGTCTGTTCTCTCTGAGTCAAAACTCATATCCTTGGTTTCTTCAAAGCGACTAATATTTGTGGAGTTGATTATTTCAGTCAGGTCGATTTCGAACATGCTTTCTATCAGTGTGTAGTCTTGGGAGCATCCCCCGAACAAAATGAGTTTCCTAAAGGTCTTCTAACTATCTTACTTTTGAGGAAGCTCTTCACAGTCCGAAACTGTATCATCTTGCTTGATGTAGAATTCGCTGTCAATGGATGTCACTGTATGAAATCTTCTGAGTGGAAACTCTTTGCAGTTCATCAAGTCAACTTCTGGACAATGCCACTTATTTAGTATCTAAGTTGAGCATCCATATATCGTTCAGCAGAGCATCTCCTTCTCCGGCAACTACAACCATAAAATTGTCGACGATTCAAGCTGCTTGGTAAGTTCTTTTACAAGGAATAGGTCCTGTGATTTCGACTGGGTAAAGATCATATGTCATGGTATCGAATCAATAAACATCATTGTATCTCTTGGTGCGTGATCAGCTGCCTCCGAAAATATAAATTCTACAAATGAGCAGTCTCACTTACCACTTATCCTTAGGATAATACACAACTGAGTGGTTTGATCTCCTTAGCTCATGGGGAAGAGTGATACTTAGCTGAGTTAGTTTGAAATCTCTGAAGTTCATTTTCCAAATATCTCTCAAATATGACCCTACAAAGCCATCAGTAACAAAACTTACCATTATAACCACCAATAATATAGATAGAGTCTTCTGTGGCTGCCATTCCTTGACCCCAGCGTTTGGAGGGATAGTTCCTGAAGCGTCTTGTAATATTCAAGTCGACCCACTTGACTGATTTATGCTCTGCCATAATAATAAATTTACTTAATTCACCGTGGCCTTTCTCTAATGGGGTTTTGGGGTTTTGGGGTTTTGGGGTTTTGGGGTTTTGGGG